TGAAATTATTTTCACTAATTATTATCTAGCAGTGGTAAGTGGCAGGATTTTATTAAGTTAGGCTAGCCTTCTTTCTCATTTCATTTATATTTATGGAGTTCTCATTTTAAATTTAAAAGTTAATATTAAGGTTTAGTAGTACTGATTTTTCAGCATGATATTAAGTAGCATCCATTTTTCATCTAGTTTATAGCAGCAGTCTGTTGGGGTCTTAAACAGCTGTGTAGAATGTTACCTATTACTGAACTAGTCTAGTCCTTCTGCTTAATATCAAGCAGTTCATTAAAATGCATTTTTATGGTATATCGATTTTGAACCACGGCAACAAAGATCCAGTTTTTCCACCTGTGATCTGAGTTCTTTAACTTCCAAAGGAGGAGAAAGAAAATGTGGGATGATCAGAGAGGGGTAGTGGTTTTTAACCATAACTTGTAAGTCTGTCAGTTTGTCTATAAGAGCTCTTGAGTGCTAAGTACACATGCAGCCTCACATTTTGATGTGGTGTCACCAGATAAAGCGAAATAGGAACCTTGAAGTATCAAGAGGCTATAATTTGTCTATTGTCACATAGGAAGTAGGAAATAAACCTCAAGAAGCTTGTTCTGTTAGAAAAAAAATGTCTATGGAAAAAAATTATATGATGAAGGTCATTGATAATGAACAGAGTGCTGGCAGTGGATGGCTACTGCATAAGAAATGCTTGCATATTATGTTTTGTCTGCAATTTTGATAAGCGGACTGTTGCAAGTCATGTTTGCTACTTGTTGATATTCAGTAGTTTTGTAAGTATTTTTATATTTCCTTGCCCTGTGGTCAGGAAGTGGAGGGGAAAAGGAAATCTGAAGTTGTTGTCCACCATCAAGACCCTGCTTTCCAAAACTTAGGGAAGCTGATTAATGCTCAGTTTCAAGAAACTGTTCTGTTCTGCATATATTTATAAGTGTGTATAAATAATGAAGGATTTTTCTTGCTTATCAATTTCTGCAAAGTAATTTTAATTCGAAACATTATTTGATGAAGGGGAGAAGGAAGCAAAAAAATACGTGCTTTTGATACTCTCTTGACACTGTAGATTACTTACTTTTTACAGCCCATGATTAAATCAGGTAAGGTGATACTGAAAACTAAAAATGAAAGAAACAAGCTGTATCTTTGGAGGAAGTTTCATCTTATTTTCCCCCATTTACTCAGTATTCTGTATGTTAATACCAGCATAACCACATGTGGTGGGTTGACCTTGGCTAAGGGCCTATCTCCCACCAGCTGCTCACTCATTCCCCCTCCTAAACAGAACAGGGGGAGAAAATAGGATGAAAAAGCTCATGGGTCAAGATAAATACATGCAGACTGCTTACCAGTTACCATCACAGGTAAAACAGAGTTGACTTGGGGAAAACCGGTTTAATGTATTGCCAATTCAAATAGATTTGGGTAGTGGGAAACAAAGACAAAAATTAAAACACCACCTCCCCTCCTCCCCTTCCTAGGCTCAACTTCACTCCTTTGCTCTTGACTCCCGTACTCTCCAACCCCAAGTGGTGTAGAGGGATGGGGAATGGGGGGCTGTGGTCAGTCCATAACAGCCTCTCTGCTGTGGCTTCCTCCTCACACTTTTCTCCTTCTCCAGTGTGGGTCCTCCCATGGACTGCAATCCTTCAGGACAAGCTTGCTTCTGCATGGGTCCTCCACAGGCCACAGTTCCTTCAGGGAATATCCACCTGCTTCAGCATGAGGTCCTCCATGGGCTACAGGGGCATACCTGCTCCACCGTGGCCTCTCCAGGGGCTGCAGGGGAATCTCTGCTGGAGCACCCCTTCCGCTTTCTCCTGCTCTCACCTTGGTGCTCACGGGCTGTTTCTCGCACTTTTTCCCATACTCCTCATTGCCAGGCAATGTTTTTCCCTTTCTTAGACACGCTTTCCCTGAGGCACCACCATCTTGGCTGCTGGGCTCAGCTGTGCCCTGCAGTGGGTCCATTTGAACCAGCTGTGTCTGGCAACCTCTCCTCACAGAGACCACCCCTGCAGCCCCCCCCAGCTGCCAGCACCTTGACACCTAAACACCTACACCCATAATGCTGTTGTATTGCTTATGTAGCATGTGTTGCTGCTAAATATGCTATTTTACACCATAGGAGAAAATGTAGGATGGGTAACTGTTTGCGAGGACACATTTTCCTCAGAACAAGATGTTCTATTGGTCGGCCTTGACTGTACTGCAAATGCCCAACAGACTTAAATGCATTGGCCAAAAAAACGCAAAACTAAAACCCAAGCCTTTAGGTCTACTTCTCACAGCACATAGTAATTTTTTTACCATGTTCATGTCTGCAATTGTTTACTTAAAACACAAAGAAGGTCCCAAGCTGAGAGGAGTGGCACGTAATTATTGGAAATACACATTAAATCAACTTCGATATCATTCGATACATATGATTCTTAGTTTCATTAACTACTTGATCCAGATGACTGTGTATCTCCCTCTTAAATAGCTTTGTTTGTCCTTGTCATATCTTGTCTTCTAGTGGTTTGTGCTGTTTGTCTTTTGAATAATCATTTTTCTCTAGACTTCCCAGATTTCATAACAGCAATTAGGAAGCCGGTAGGAAGGCAGAATCTTCAGAGTATATATGATTTTCCATTCATATTGATTAAGAAAGATTTGAACGAGCTTTATTACCACAAATGTTTTTCTCACTGTGTAAGAAAGGTTACACCTGCTCCAAAATTGTAAATCGGTTCCTCTGCACCCCAATGCCAGGAAGTTTACCACTGAGATAAACAAGAATTGAGTAAGCCAGGCTGCTCTGCGGTCTTGCATGATGTCTTCTGTACTAAAGATTTCCAGGCTGTGGTATGCATACAACTAATGTCACATGAGCAGTCTAAATGATGTACAAATACTGTTTGAACAGGCAGGTGTTGCTGCTTATGTACATGCATAACCTGATACAGAGCTGGAAATGCTGATGCTTTTGCTGTCGCAAATGATGGCATCTTAGGGGAAAAAATAGTTAGGAAACCCTTCTAGATAGAGTTTTGTGGGCACATGGAAAAAAAAATAAAGAAAGCAAAAACCCCAGAGTTCTCAGCAACTTGTGCATACTGGACATGTATACTTTCAATTTTCCTTCCCTTCCCCATCACCAGGCATCTAAAAGAGAAAGACTTTGGATCATCCAAGGAGATAATTCTTCCCCTCATATTTGTGAGCTTGAAGATTTGGCTTTGAGGTTTATCAGCTAGTCTGAAAGATACATCATAAGCCTATAAATTTTGTATAACCAACATGAAGAATTAGTAATCTTTCCCCGTGTCCATCTCTGTCTTTCTCTGTCCAGAGTAAATGTCCTTCCTCTTCCCCCAGTGATATGAGGGATGAGCTGGACTTGCAGCATCTTGCTGTTTTACTCTTTTTTTTTAGCCTGGGAAGGAACCGCCCCTTTGCTATCATGTCAGCCTAGACTGCATGGACTTTCTAAGATGCTGACCTAGCTTAGTGATCAGGTAGTGTTCCTTTGTCACAGGCAGATTCCTAACATTTGTTTGGCAGAGGGATTGCCTCAAACTGGGAATGAAAAGGCTTAACACAAAGCCAGGTGAAGAAGTTTGACAATGGTGCTATTTCCCATTAAGAATACTATGGTGAAAAAGCTACTGTCTTTCTGTCAGTTTTATAATACTTGTAGATGCAAAAAGGAGTGAGTGGGGACTAGAGCACGGTTAGATCGTATTCCCATATTAGGTGGTATAAACGAAAGATGGTCTTTACTGAGTAAGCTGCTGCCAGATAGTCTCCTAGGTGTTTGTTACCAGTGCTGTGACTTAGCTGACTCACATTCAAATGGTGTGCAGGATAGGCTAGTCTAGCAAGAGTCTCTTTAAAAGACGGGACTGAATGAAATACCTTCCATGCAGACACCTCAGATTCTCTAGGCTGCACTGTAAACTCTCCTAGCCAGCACAAAGGTGCTGCAAGCCTTGAATGGAGCCTCTGAAGTCCACTGTAGTATAAGTGAGCAAGAATAATTTATGAAGGTGATACAACTGGTAACAGTTTGCTACAGTTGTGGTTTTTTTTTCCTTCTGTTGGTACTTGGTGGAACCAGGGTAGTCCAAAGACTACGGTATTTGTAAGTGTCAGTGATGCCCTGAGCATTCAAAGCTCAATTCTTGCAGATCCTTTACAGTGGAAACAAACATCTTTACAATGGGAAACATTTACAGAGAGAGGTAAAATGTTTGTTGCTTTTATTTGGCTTAATGTGTTACATAGAAATTGAATGAAGTCATTCTAGTCAGTTTACCCACTCAAAAGATTAGTTGGTACTAAATACATTTTGTTTCCATGGGTGTACATTCATTACCAATCCAAAATCAGTACTGTCCCAGAACCATTACAGTATAGCACTCATTGAAAGCACTCTGTGAAACAAATTAGTGTTATCTCTTTATCTGCAGTAAGGTATTGCCTACTTCAAATAAATGAACAACACATTTACTAGCATTTTGCGTTCTTGTTGGCAGTTTCAGTAGACTGGCTAAGGCTTGGACAGAGTATGAGTCCAAACTATGCTCTTGCCAATTAGAGGCAGCTTTTTCAAGTAAGCAGTGTAGACTAGAACTCTACAATATCTTTGTACATGCTCTCTGGATAAATAATTCCTGTTTCAAAGGTTGTCCAAATTGATATTTTTATTTTTATATGTCATGGTTCACTGAAGAATCTTAGTGCTTTTATATGTCTTGTTTCACAGTCTGCAGGGTAGGAGAGAATATTGCTGAATTTATAAAAGTGTAAATCAAGCAAAAGGGAAACTACTGATTTGTCTCACTGGATATGTTTAATAAATACTAAACTTAAGGAAAAAAGAATTGTGTTAAAAGTTTAACCCATGAACAAAACTTATTAAAACTGGTTTAGTTTAATGCAGTGATATTCTTCATTTCCATGTTTGACACGCATCACTTTGACTCAATTTTGGTTTTATTTCCATTTAGGACGTGTAGGAACACCTCATTTTATGGCCCCAGAAGTGGTAAAAAGGGAACCTTACGGGAAGCCTGTAGATGTCTGGGGTTGTGGCGTGATCCTTTTTATCCTGCTAAGCGGTTGTTTGCCTTTTTATGGAACCAAGGAAAGATTATTTGAAGGCATTATTAAAGGAAAATACAAGGTAAATGATGATATAACTGAATCCTTTTCCAGTGAGATGAGCTCTGCTGCTAAAATTTCTGGAAGTTGATTTTTGTATTTAACCTGATTTAAATTTGAAGCTTATAGAAATCTGTCTGTGTTACACAGGAAGAGAGATGAATTTTTCTTTCCAGTCTGTCATGTTCCTGCTGTGTTTTCTATCAATGTTAGGAATTAGAATATGGAAATATTTTTTAAATAATAAACGGGTGCAACAACTAGCCCCAAATTGTACATTGAGCTCAGTAGGATTACATAAGGTTTAGCTGTGAAGTATAATATACTGTATGTTACCTTAGATTTATAGATAATTTAAATTTTTTAATCAACTAAAAGAACTGTCGTAAAGGCTGGTCATCATATTGCCTTGATTTAAAACAAAATGCGTGTTACTGTAAAAGTGTAGTTACGCATTTTTCTTTTTTAGTACAGTATGTAAAGTGCAGCTGATGATTCAAAAGGAGCCACTTGCAACTGAAAGCAAATCAGTATGTGTGCAAGATAAGCATGTTTCACAATATAAGCGTCCTAGAGCCATTATGGAGGCAAATTTAAAGCTTCAACTTCACTATTTTTGCAGTTCTGTCGAAGATCGGTTTTGCTCTACTTTGCAAGTGAAAGGAAGAGTGGAAACTCCTAAAACTGTCCGATAGTCTGTAATATGGTTTAGGAAGTATTTTATTGTATGAACTTAACATTAGTCTGCTAAAATGTAAGTGACAGCAGTGGTACCGCACTTGGTCAGGAGCACATTTTTCATTCTTTAAATTTTGTATTCCTAGAAACAGCAGGATTTCTTCATTACACTAGTTTTGGTATTGCATAGACTGGTAGACATTCCAGTTTCGCTTTATGGAAGATTTCTTTATGGTATCTCTTAAGCAGCTAAAACCTTCTGGAAGCACACAAGTTAACTTTTCTTTGTTTAAAAAAAAAAGTCATGGCCAGTACATTGTGTCTTCTCAGTTCCTTTTCTGTTCCTGTTTCCACAATAATATGTCTATTCAGTGAAAATAGTATAAGGATTTCAAAACAGTCTTGCTGCAGATTTGCAGTTACCTTCATTTCATCAGAGCTGAAAAAGAAATGATAAATCACAACTATAAATGTGCATTTCATAGCCAGATAATGTTCCTGAGTGCTCTGATTTAAAGCAATCATTTTTCATAAAGACTGATTTTAAATAAAATGAAGGTCTTTAAATGAACAGATTATTACATTGAAAAGAGTCTGGTTATAATTTTGAATTTTCATTTAGTACCTTGTAAAATTATCAGTGTACCATCTAAATAAAACTTAAGTTCTTCATAAATTAAAGAAATACTAGAAATAGCTTAAGGATAGAATGCTTTATCACAGAAGGAATTTTCTTACTTTAATATGGCTTCGTCGGGTGTCCATCATCTTGACTAGTTGGACACAAACCTGCATATGCTCAAGATGAAAATATATTCTAAATCATCCTTCACATTGTTGTCTCCTAAACATACAGTTCTGCTCTAAAAAGTGTTGTAATCGCTTGTATTGTTGATCACATGTCAGTATGCTTTCCTACCTGAGTGGCTGAAGATGCTGAACTGTTGTAAAGGTGAAAGGAATTTATTGGGAAGAGGCGTTGTCCACGATACCTGAGGGACAGGACCAGAGTAGTTCACAACAGGCATTAGCTGACTCACTTGTTACTCAGCATCACTGGCATGAAATTGTGGCTTGATATAGATAGACTGTCATGCTATTCCTTATATTGATTTCAGGAGCAGATTTAATTTCTACATTTATCATATGCATGGTTAACTGTCAGACAAAGGCTAATTATTTTTTCTTTTTCTAGTGAAGGGTCACTTTTATCTGAACAAAATGTAGCATAGGTAAAAAATTATACTGTGATTATAACATAAGACCAAGGATATATCAGCTTTTATGTGATGCAGTGCTCATTGTTTTCAACGTTTTATGCCATTTCGATAATAACTAATGTACAATTTTTACAAGCTATTAAAAACCTTAGAAACTTCCTTTTACATTTATTATGATAAAATGTTTACAAGTAGCAACCACTGTTAAATCTCTGCAATTACTTTACATAAAAAGTAGGTTCTTTTCTATATTCTTTTACTAATTTAATTTCTTTTTTCTTGTTTGTAATCAGATGAACCCTAGGCAATGGAGCCATATTTCTGAAAGTGCCAAAGATCTGGTACGCCGCATGCTTATGCTGGATCCAGCAGAAAGAATAACAGTATATGAAGCACTGAATCATCCCTGGTTAAAGGTAGTAAAAGCAGCTGTTTACATACCAGTTTCCTCTTCAAGGGAGAAAAAGATTTATTTCTTTGTTTCTTTGAACTTTTCAAAGTAGACATGACATTGTACAAAATGTGTGATAATATGCTTTGTAAGAATAGAGCCTGAGATGTTTATAATTGCCAGGCTTGAACTCTTGCCTAACAGCAAGAGCAAACTCACTTAGGCATCTTCAGCAGCATCAGAATATAGGGATTAGGGCTGCGTAGAATAAAGCTTGAAGAAGGCATTCATGTGTCTTTCTGTGGCTCTCAAACTCCAGAGTAATTTCTGATCTCTTCATTGCTCAATCGTATCTAGACCTCAGTACATTATGCTACTTAACTATGCTGCTTTCTTACATTAGATTCCCGAAATATCCCACCAGAGTGAAGGAAGTATGTAGTGGTGTATTGCTCAAAGGTCACTGTAACTACATAAAATTGTATGGCATCTGGTAATCAAATTATTTTTCAGTGGTGGCAGAATTTACAACACAGTTTGAGCCAATGATTGCTGGACACTGAAGGTTAAAACAGGAGCAGAATAATATACACCTAACTTCTCAGTAGTGCCGTTAGTAGGCTGTGCTAAACATTGGAGTGGGAGAATGATGGGTGTGTTGCAGATTAAAAGGTGGCAAGTACTGGTTCAGAGCATTGTATTTTCTTTGGCAGAAACTGATGAATTAACTATTTTTCTTTGTTATCCTCTATTTCTTTCCTATAGTGTGGGCCCAGGGTAGAGAGAGTCATATCATTAACTCAAACGGGGCACTTATTTGGAAACAGTGCTATTCTGGTGTCTGCTCCTGGACTGTTTATGTGTTCTACATTAGACAAATATTGACAGAAGGAAAAAAAAAAAAGAAACTGGGAAGCACAGGCTCATATGTTCTTCTCTCTCCAAGTAAATGGCCTAACTACTAGTGAATGGAGTTGTTCTTCCACTTCTCTGCTCTCTTTCTGGCTCTGACTCTTGTATTCCAAGCTGCAGAATGGTCTAGCTTATAAAAGGAGGGCAGGAGTGTGCACCTCTTGGGAATAACAGTGGTTAAGGCGTTCTTCTGAATATTGGGAAACTGTGGGTTCAAACCTTTCCACTCAAAAGGAGCCAAAGTTCTGTCTGTTCATCTGGGGCATATGTAGTGCATCAAATATTTCAAAGAGCATAGGAATGGACACCATGTTTGGGAATCCCAAATGGTCATACTCTAGTGATTGAGTCTGTGGTAAATGCAGGTGATCTGTTTTTACCTGCTTGTAATTTGACTTTTTTTTCACTTTGTGAGCTTACCCACATTTAGATGCCAAAGCAAGGGTTTTGTTGAGGGTTATTTTGGCAGAAAACTTTGCCTGTTTTCTTGTTTGAGTAACTAAGCTCATTAGGCTTTTTAAAAAGATAATTCTGTAATGTGAATGTGCAAGTTCTGCCTATATAGCATAGTACTTTTGATGTCTGTGATCTCTCTGATCTTGCCATTATTTGTTGAAAGACAAAGCAAGGACAGAGAAGATTTAGTCTGAGACAACTTTGTTTCCAAGCTTAGGCCAGCATTGTGTCAGTCAGTCCTCTCTTGGTTTTGCCTACGATAAACTGCCTTCCCTGCTGACTCAGAATTTTCTTTTAAACCATTTATAGATAGCAGCCAAATACAGCATGAGACAGAGACATCTTTAATGCTGTAGAGAGACTGAATTACTTCTGCCAGTGATTTCACTCTGATTCAGGAGATGCATTTGATCAATATTGACATTAAATGAATACGTGTACGTAGCTTCTGTGATGATTTGGGGCAGGGGAAGAAAGTAGTCAGCTGCTGCAAGTTGTGCCCCTACTGTCCACTGTTCATTGGCAAATTTTTCATCTGCGTCCACAATGGAGAATTCTTCCTGTAAGCTCGCACCTGGTGTCACCAGCCATGGAGCTGGCACTTCCTGCTCTGTTGGACACGTACCCCATCTCCCAAGTTTACCTGATGTATCAGGCACCCCATAAAAGAGCGCTTGAACATGTTGCTTCACTGGGATTTGTGAATCCCAAGAAGCAGAACTACTTTGTACTTGCCAGCTTCAAAGTTCAGTGCTAGCCACAGACTGACTAACAACACAACAGTTAAAAGGCTAGGGTCTTACTATGAAGTGGGAAACAAAATCACAAAAAGAAAATATCCCTGGCCCAAGTTAAGAATTCTTTCAAAATATTTTAATCCCTCTCAGTTTCTTGAAGTTTTCCTTAAGTTGCAACAAATCCTCGTTCTCCTTAGTATACTTATTAGCTGGTACATTTCCTGTCTAGTTTCTTAATGTCGAGAGAATATTAAGAGCTTGTATTTAATGTTTCTTTTATTTTGTTGTGGTTTTTTTTTTGTGGGGTTTTTTAAGGAGAGAGATCGCTATGCATACAAGATTCATCTTCCAGAAACAGTAGAACAATTGAGAAAATTCAATGCAAGACGAAAACTAAAGGTAAGATGAATGTAGTGTTAAAACAATATAATTAAGTAACTTGAATTTTGTGTGATTCTGTATTCATTTTAAAAGTGCTAGGAGAAATCTATGCTCCGAAGTCAGCAATAAACTAAAAAGTTGAAACAGGCCTTCACAGTTGTTTATTGCAATGATGTCTTGTTAACGGTGTTCGTCCTTTCTTTCTTAGTGCATGGTTTTCAAACTAAATTTCAGTGCAAATTGTCTGGTATCAACCAAGGTATGTATGCAGGTTTTGTCTAAAATTAATTCAGTAATTCTGTGTAATATGAATTATTGAAGAGGAGAGAATAGTACAATGGCTTCTGTTATTATTGTGTTACATTTATCATAAAAGGAACATAATAATGTTTTAATGTCTTTTTTCAAGAAGAGCAAAAATGTATACTTCGGTTTATCCCTTTTATGTTTAACCATACACAGGATTATTTCTCAGCTGTATTGAAAAGAATGCTAACATTTTAGCCCAAAAGAGCATAGTTTTCCTCTCAGGTCCTATCTTGGAAAGTTTAACAGAAACACTTTTAAATTCACTGAAAGGCTGAGAAAATTTTAACAGAAACATGCAGCATTACAATTCATGAGGGTTTTTTTTATAATTTGTAATAAACCACAGAATCGGATATACACACTGAGTTGCTGCTTTGCAAAAGTTTAATGTAGCTGCAAAAACAACTGATGATTGGGATGTAACAGTTGCCATAGTTCATGATAAACAGCACTTTCTCTTAGGTGGTTTGTATGTCTAGTAATGCTTTCATTAAAATGTTAGCTAGTACATTTTAGAATATGACCTGTTTTCCTGCTCTAGGCACAGTTTCAGATCTTTCCCAGACTTCTTCCTGGGGAGGCCACTATATTTAGTCTCCTGAGAGCTTTTATACGTGTGCTATTTGTTTTCTAACATTTTATCCAAAGCACTGTTCTGCAGAACATTTTCTGAAATTATTTGTTGTCCATTTTGCCTACTGCCACAACTGTAAGATATTAAAACCTGAGTGGTTTACTTGAACAAGTAAATATATGTCAGAGCAGGTAACCATTTTTCTGGCTTTCTAACTTCTCATGTAACACTCATTCTGGGAGTCTGAGATTATTACATTTTCATATAGATATATTATGGATGTCAAATATCCTAGTGCTGTCAGTGTCAGATTCTGACAATTTCTCAAATAACAACATATTGTCTTGCTTTAAAGAGTGCCTTTTTATACTTGCTAAGCCACCCAGTCTAGATAACAGGGAAAGTGAAATAAATTAGTTATCTTGTTTATATTGTACTATGGGAATTTATGTCTTACACTTACTATTTTTAAATGCTTTCCCATAAAGAATTGTTCTCATGAATCCCTCACAAAGAATATATTTACTGTTTATTAGAGTAGTGTATGACCAGTTCTTCTGTTAGATATGGTCACTGGTAACAGTGAAGCAGAGATGAAGACTATAAAATTTATTTACTCTTCAGTGAGAAGGTCAACACACAAGAGACCTCGGGAGATTGAGTGATCCAAGGTGTCTGGAAATGTTTCATTATCCTTCTTTGTGTAATTTAGACTTTGTGGTTATTTTTATTCAGGGGGCAGTACTAGCAGCTGTGTCAAGCCACAAATTCAACTCCTTCTATGGTGACCCCCCTGAAGAGCTGCCAGACTTCTCTGAAGACCCCACCTCCTCAGGTATTTTAACAGAAAGTATATTTACTGCAGTCAACCTGTCTTAATTCTACACTGACTAGAGTACTAAGTGTTTACTACTTTCTCATGATTTCATAAAGTTGCATATTAAGTTAATGTTTAAATGTGAAAGCATAAATAATTTTCAGTCATAATGGTGTTAGTGACTGGAGAAAATGAAGAGAAAATCTCTGCACAGTTGTAAGTTTCTACAGAAATTCTGTCTGATTTTATTTGTTGTATGTACGTTTAATTACAAATAGTGCTATAGCCTCGTATTTCTCTTTATATTACTTGAGTGTAAAAGCTTATTGAAATTTTGTCTTGAATTCTTAGGCAGGAGCAAGGTTCTCATACCTTAGTAATAGTTATTTATAAAAAGAAACCATTGTGTACCAGAGTTCCTTGACCTCCTGTTTTAGAGAACAGTATGATTAATAAGTTTCCTCTTTAAAGCACACTGGACAGTATTTCTGATACTATAACTGAGACCCCCAAATCTTCACAGAGAGACAACATATGTACTTTAGAGACCTCCCAACGTACTTTAAAGGGGAAAATAACACCTTTGCTGTGCTGTGAGCACATAGCTAGGCCTTGGGCAGCACAGTGGTATTACTCCAATCAGTCCTTTTGTCCTCGGCCCGTATTCAGGACTTCAAATAACCTGGCAGTCCCTATACTAACACAGCCCTGTCATAGTTATGTATCTTAATTTTGACATAACATTGCTCACAACATTTGCAGTGCAAAAGTCTGGGTTGGTCTATCTGACCTAAAATCAGGATTTAGGATCAAGTTAAATGAACTTTTAAGAAAAATCTAAGGCCAAGAGGCTCTCTCTTTTATTGTTCTAAACAACTAAATAGTACTGGCAGAATACTTTAGCTATATGCTGACTTTACTAGAAGATATCTCAGGAACTTAATTACATGTGCTGAACTGCTGTGTGATAATTCTCTTTCCCAATATTTTATAGGTGAGAAAATTACTTATTGACTGCATATGTTAAGTGTTCCTTTTCTACTCTTTCATATGAGCAAGTAATTTTTATAAGTTATTTCAGTGCCATTAATATAGGAATTGGGGGCAATGTTTTTGTTGAAATTCTTTAATTTCAATTCTTGGAATTCAAGTTTGAGTACTTAAAAGATTGCTTTGTCCTTAGAAATGCACACTGCTCATCATTTCCACAGAAGTGAATGGGAATCTCAGATCATTTATTGCAAATAGGTAATCGCAGCCTCATGGCTTAACTTCAGGCAGCTAGCTTTTGAATACTTGATGTACTTGTAAGTAAGGATCCATATATTCTTTTAAAGAAAGAATAAGTTGGTTTTACTTCACCCAGAATTACTTGCAGTGCTTTAATTTTTGTTTCCAGCTACTTCCCCCACTTCAATAAAATGAATAGGCCACCAACATGATTGGCAGTGGCTACTTTGCCAATCTAAAAACTGCAGTTCCTCTTTCCAGTTTCAGTCTCACATCAACAGAGCATGTGTCTTCCTCATAGGATGATGTAATTACAGAAATTAGTATACAGCAAAGGTACAAGTTCTATTTTTTCTGCTCACAGAATACATGAATCCAGTACACATGTAAATTCTACAGAATATCTGTGCTGGATCTACTGTTATCTTGTGTTCATCGCTGAAATAACTGAAACAATAGCTTGGATTTCTCAGGAAAGCGTAGTTATTCTCTAAAATAACATTGTTGATCTCACTGATGGGAGATCACACTGATCAGGAAACCATACTAAGTGGGTAGTTTTCATGATGTTTCCGTGACCAACTCCATTAGCTGATAAAATACTTAATATCTCAGGATAAACAGTGAGGCTTGCAAGTAAAGATACTGCAACTTTCAGCTTCTGAACTGCTAGATATGGAAATCTATTTTGTTTCCTCCAGAAGTACACTAATAAAGTTTTCAAATGTTTCTGGCTTGTTAAGATAGGCTCTTGTGATGATTCTAAACTGAACTAGTTTATAGAAATTAGACATAAACCTCTTGAATTGCGGTAGAAGCTTGACTATCTTAAGGTTATTTAAGTTTCCTTCCTAACATCTCATTATGTTATTCTAGATCATAAACTCTAATGAAGAGCGTTTAATATTTTAAATGTTGCTGCCTATTTAATCCTCCCATAAAATTTCATGAAGCTTACCATTAAAATTAAATGACTTGTCAGAAGTGGGCAAATGTGGAACTCCTACTGAGATAAAGATGCAGAAATGTAAATACTTATTAGGTTATGCAAATTTTATATCCTGTTCTCCTCCAGGTCTTTCTAAACATAGAAACAGAACATTTCAGTTCTGTCTTTTTTTCCAGATTAATCTAGAGGTGTTCTTCCTCAGAATTCAGTGAACCTGGACCCTTTGAGCATCTTCCTTTACTACCAGAGTAATAGCCTGGGATATGAAGGCACTGTAGGCAGCAAGTCAGATGACTGTCTTAGGTGCAGAATCACAAAGGATATTCTTGTCAGAGAGCTTTCCAATCAGGGGTCAGCAAATTGCATAACTAAATTAGATGGGAATGAACACACATAAATTTCATTTAAAGTCAACCATTTTTTTCTGTCCACATCTTCCTTTCATTCACACAGAGTGTATTAATAACTCGTGGTTCCCACAGCTTGTTCTGGGTGATCTATTTTCTCGTTTGTCAGCAACTGTCCTCTGGAGGACTTAACTTAATCCCGCTATCACTCTGTTGGTAACATGGCAGAAGTCAGTCTTGCTGAATTTGAGAGAGTACGTTAGAGGCTTTTAAAATTATTTGAAAAATTAGGTAAATATTTATTAAACTAAAATATTACTTTACTGCTGATAGGCTGTGTTCAGTAACTTCTTTAGTAAAGCCACTAAACAGCTGAAATGACAAGCATCTTGCAAATGTTTTTTGCTAGAATGTAAAACATTTGACTTTCAGGTTGCCTGTCTTCATGATGTTGTAAAATGTTAATTTCCCAAGGCAGTGAATGTTTTGGATATTTTTAATATGCTGAAACAAATATAAATCAGAAGTTAGCAATCAGCAACCCTAAAGGCGAAATCTGGCACATGAGAAAAATTGGCCCAGTAGAGAGTATTTGAAGTGGACCATGAAATTAATTAGGTGCTAGAGAAATTCACAATCAGTTTGCTCTCTGCTGCCCTTCCCCACCCTACTCCCTGCCCTCTCCCCGACCCTCCCTGGCTCTCCTATCACCTGACAGCACACTAGATCAAGACAGAGGATTTCCTCTGCTTGTGTCATATGCTGACGGAGAGTAAGGAGGCATAATTTTCAAGTGTTTTGATAACAATGCTTCAGGCTGAAGAATGAACATCACCAGTGTAAAGCTTTCTCGTTTTCCTCCTTTTGCTTCTTCAGCCCCCCATTCTGCGGCAGCCCAAGGAAAGGCTGTGGAATTGTTTGACGTTTTGACTTGGGAAGCTGAACTCAGGAAGAGTGTTTCGTTTACTTTGGAGTTTTAAGTAGATTGAGGATGTTTAGGTTTTTAGGCTGACAGTTAGAAAAGCGAATAAATTGAACAGGTTTTTTATAACTTTGTATTTCCAAAAACGTTTTTGTAGCCACATTTTCAGAACTACTGAGTCAGTGTTAGAGTTAAGCCCGTGGATAGTCCATAGTCTTTGGAAAACTGCATAACTGATTTTTAGATTAAAGCAAATCTTACCTTTTGGTTAAAGGACTTTGTAATGCCTGCTTGAATTGCTTGGTTTATAGTGCTCGTATTGTGAAATGTGACCGACAAGTTTCAGAGTAGCTTTTTGCTGCAAACAATTCTAAATTCCTGTAAGGCATTTTATAATGCTGTGTTTCAGTTTAACCACAGAGAAAGTACAGCAGCATATTTTATAGCAGTCTGACTGACCAAATGTGCTTATGTAGCCTAGGCTAACAAATTGCACTGTTTGCAGTACTTCCTGAACATTTATGTGCTTTCTGAGCTCTGTGGTAATGGTGTATACTTTTGCATTGCACAGAAAGCAGGCATGTTAAGTCTACATCAGTGTTTCTAGCTTGTTTTCTCAAACTGCAAGGCACAAATTTCATATGGTATTTTTATAAGTGCATTTTGATGTTTTGTCTCAGGATTGCTATATGTAAATTGATATTTTCATTCTTTTTTATCTTGTTAGACTCTATATTATCATATCAAATGAGAAAATTTTAACAGTATGAGATCCTGATTTTCAAATCTGGAAGTAATGGGAAAAAAGCTAAATCTGGTAGTCTTTCAGAGTGGGATCAAACAGCAAATGTATGGCCAATTGTAAGATCAGTGTTTCCAACATACATGGAACTAGCTTCAGTCACAAGTTAGTAAGTGGTTAGTAGTTTCATGGGATTTCGATTCCATGAAATATGGGCAATATAAGCCCGTATCTTAAAAACAATCAGTCTCATCAACATGAGGAAGAAAAAAAAAAATCTGTTGTTAAGCAAATATTACCACTGATTTTTGTATATATTTGCAAAGAGTCTTGTGTAACATTTTTAAGTATAAGTGCTTGGAAAAAAAATTACATTCATCTTATAATTTACTGTTATTAATTCCTTATCTAGTATTACAGGTATAACTGACTATCAGTTTTGAGATCATGAGTTTGAGTGTTTCCAATACTCCATTATTATCTTCACGATTTTTCAGCTATTTAATCTTTGTTCTGGTATGTTTAAATACAAAAACTTCTAAGTATATAGAGTCACTGTTAATAAAAATAAAGTGGTTGTATTTCTAAATGGTTCTAATAATGGTTCTCACTGAAACTTTTGTAAAAGAATTTATTTTAATGTAATATTGCTAAATTCTAGTTAGTAGATGTAAGGATATTGATTTAATATGATGTTACGCTTTGTCTGCAGTATATTGAAATAGTTTGTCTGTTCACCTCTTACGATATTCTTACTTGAAATCATTTTTTGGCCATGAGTTTTTTTTAAAATAGTTTAACCAATGTTGGAAATAGTCTGGTATTACCTAACGCTGCGTACATGTGCTACCTTCCCAATGTCAAGTGTTTGTTTTCCTCCCATCCCAGTCCGCAAGTCCCATTTGCTTCGCACATAGAAACCATATTAAAAAAAGGGAGGGGGTTCTTGTCAGTTTGTTCATACTATTTTGTGCCTAAACTAGTGTGCTAGGTTGCAGCTTTATAAATCGCTTGCTCTGAAATCTTCATACTGTTTGTTGTTTGTCCAAATGCTGCCTTCCTACTAGGACTTCTAGCAGCAGAAAGTAGGTATCCCTTTGTTTTCCTTTAAGGCATATCATTCAGCTATGGTGTATGTCTTTGCATGTTTAAAAATCAGCTTTCTTCTCTTCTCTTTGCTATTTCCAGTTTTAATACTGCCTGTTCAAGAAAAACAGCCCATATGTTTTTGACTCTATCTGTCTATAACTTTGAAAGTACAATTATCCAGAACTAATATTATTTCCAGGGAATTCTGAAGGTTCTAATTTAGAGGCAGTATTAAAATTACCTGTTTTTTTTGTTTTCAATATTTGCAACACAACTGAAATAAAATCTAATTTTCATTAAATTAAAAAAGGATAAAATGGTTTGGTTTTGTGTTTTAGTTCCAAAAGTAATGTTTTCATGGACTAATGGGCTTTTTTCTCCCAACAGGAAACATATACTGTAGTATTAGTCATATATTAATTTCTTGCTATACCCTTGCATGAATTTTCTTGATCATTCTGTGTTGATGTGATATACGATATGTGCATACACCTGATTTAAATAACTATCCGATATGTGTCTCCTTAATGAAGGAATATTATTGACATGTAGGGAGGAGGTTCTGCTGCTAGTTATCTGCACGCTTCATGAGAGACTGAAAGCGCAAGCACTTCTAAAACCTGCAGACTGTGCTAGACAGAGGAGAAGGTGTGAAATGCTAGACCCTTTGATCCAAACCGTAACCATTTCAAAACCAACAAATGCAGATTTTCAAAATACAGCCTATAAAATGTGGGGGGTTTCCTGCAGCATTTTAAGATTTGTAGGCTAACAGTTCTTCTTCCATCCTAGGTCATGGAAGCAAGACATATGTCCATGTCTCCATTTCTGATCAAAGTTATGGATTTTGTTGTTGTTGTTGTTTGGTTCATTCTTTTGACCTTACAGGTTGTGGGGGATATTCCTTGTCCCCCTATTTCCCCATCTCAGAATGCCTGTCCAGTAGTGTGAGAGTGAGAACTCAGTGGATTTTTATATAAAAGTTTTGCAACAGTATTATTTTTGTACAGTCATAGGGGAAAAAAGAAACCTCATACAGAGCCTCTGCCACTGATTTTTGTTTTTTGTTTGTACGTAGAGACTTTCTTCAGCAAACGTACTGACTGATAGGATGTGCTGCCCTCATACTGGTCAGAAGTATATTCCATATATTTTTGCAACGAGGAAGAAAGTATCTAAGGCAGTAATAGTGAAGGGCATTCATTTGTTAAAATAGTTATTTGTTTAGTTGCATGTGAGTGTGCTACTTGTAAGGTGCCCATCTGAACTGAAAAACAATACCTTCTCACTACATATTCCTTTATGACCACACTAGACTACCTTCTATCATATTTGTGGCTACTTTTACAGTGAGAGATAACTGGGAAAAGGAATTGGCAAACTTTGTGTAAAGGTCCCAAGTATGGAGACAGGAGAAACCTGGAGACATGCATACACACAGTGCCCCTGCGCGTGCAAAACAAAACAAAGACTATCTTCAAAATCGAGCATCAGTTACTCCGCTCCCTCTCCCCTCCTTCCCTCTCTCTCCCTCACCCCCTCCTTTTTTGTATTTCCACATATAGTACTGTCCTCCGCATTCTTGCTTGTGTTTGGGGACACTTTGTCTCTTGTTTCCTCTTCCTCCCCTGCCCCTTTCTTTTTTCTTTGTTTAGTCTTTTCCTCTTTAGCCCTGGTTTTCTCTCCTGCACCTATTTCCTTTGGTTTTCTTCTCTTTTACATGCCTGCCTTTCCCTTCTTGTATTCCATAGATGTTCTTACCTTCTTTAATTTAGTTGTAAATCCCAATACCCTTTCATCACACCAACTTCTTTCTGCAGTTTCACTGTAGTCTCCATAAACCTCCATCTCTCTAGTTCTCTCCCTAGACTCTTCCTGATCGTTATATATATTTATATAGTGTGTGTATATATATAATTACTGTCTTAATTGCTTCCTAGTAGCATTCACAGAACTGTGTGTCTGTAAGGGAGCTTATTTGTAAATTTAGAGAGTGTCTAAACTTGGCTGTTTGGTTTCTGTTCAAGAAGGAAGAAGTAATTAAACACTATGTAGCTCAAATTTGAGGAGGATAGAGTCCTCACTTGCCTTTCTTTTTAATTACACTGTGTGTATATATGTGAAACATGTATCTCCCACGTTATCTTAAACTATTATAGGCGTGTTGGCTGTCATCTGTCTTTACAGAGATAGTTGCTCTGGAATATAGTGAACAGCAAAGAGCAACAAATTACTGCGTGAGGTTAGAGGCGTCTCAACTCCAGTGATTCTTGCAGATGTAGTTTAAAGTGATGAAGAGCATCTGGTCCTCAGTTGGCTTTCTCTTAATCGAAGAAGTAACATCAGCACAAGTAGTGGAAAGGTCCTGTCTCTGTAAAAGATTCTTTTCTCACCTTTAATGGAAACAGCATATGTTTAGTATTTTCTTTACAGGACCAACAGGAAATAGAGATGTTCTTTCTTAAACATTTTTAACTCCTGTCCACTGCTACTAAGGCAAACTTGGCCTTGTATATAACTTGGGCATAGTATTTTTTTATAATTATGCTGATATTGAGCCTAGACTTTCATGTTTAGCTAAAGTGAACAGTTTTAAATATACATGTGATTGTGGTTTGAAAACCGCAGCTGACAGACACCCCTTCATTTCCACAGCATTTTGATATAGTGCTTAATTACCTAATGTGTTAAACAATTATGCCTTTTAGGGTATCGTAATCAGATGCCAGCAAGACAAAACTACTGGAGGCATGGATTTATACAGTTACCACTAAATAGGTTGTTTAAAGGTATAAGTGTCACTGGAGTCTTAAAGCAGAAGCAAAGAATCTTTGTTTTATTTGTCATACATGAGAAATAAAAATAAAATCCATGAAACTTGAATCTCACATTACAGAGTTGGTAAAAATTATCTCATTGTCACTGCACCAGATGTGCTCTATCAGAATCTCACAGTATTTATAAGATATTTTTTCTGAAAAAAATGCAGTTTATAATAATTCCCATGCTTGTTTTTTATGAGATTGTATCCAGTGACTTCATTTAGTCATTGTAGTATTTGCTCTCTCTAAAATCTAACAATTTCTGATGGTTTTTCTTCTGTCCTTGCTGTACGTGCTAGCCTCAGACCTCTTCATAAACAAAGTGAAATGTAAATCCTACCTTCTGAAATGCCTGTGCTTTGAAAGCAAGGGTTGTTTTTTAATTTCATTCCAGCAGCTGCACACAAGAAGGCAGCCAAGAGGTGATGTTGAGAGAAATCAGCTTGTGTTGATTGTAGATTGACTGGCATAAGTATTGAATTGTGATACATAGAGAAATTGCAAATATCAGCTAAGCTTTGGTGAGTCATTTAAAAACCACTGTAAAATCTTCAAGGCATAGTTAATTTTATACAGTTCTACAAATCTAAGGGGTTTAGATTTTGTCAGTGTCTCTTTAATAGAAATATGCTATTATTATAATGGTTGCTGTAAGGTCTTCTGCAGAGTCATTTCCTGGAATACTAATTGCAGAAGACTTGCAAAAAGGTCACGGTTTTATAGTTTTGTATTTAAACAAGGTCAGGCTTCCTCTAACAAGTTTTCATTGCTCAGAAGAGCGTTTATGGCTGACCAAGACATTAATGGACATTTGTAATCTTCAATGTTAAAAAAGTAAAACAAAGAATTCTTTTACCCTCTCTCAGAATGTGTTTGTAGTCAGGATATAGTCTTTGTGTTTTGCAGCAAGATCTAAGTCTTCTTACCTGAACACTCTTTAGTCAGATGCTGTCACAGATCCCTGCTGCAGGAAAAGCAGCTGGTGATTCTGTGTACTGCCTGCTGCATAAGAGAAGTCATCGGTTGTACCTGCCTTGTTTGCTGAGCCTCAGAAAAGCAAACTTTTGGGGTGTTTTGTGGTGGAGACATATTACTATTGGAGAATATGTAGACAATTCTTGGAATAGTATTTTAAAGATTTATTCTCTTTTATTCTCTTCTTTCCTCTTCTGGGGAGAAGCAAACAACTCCTACCTAGCTCTAAAGTTCAGTCTCTCTAGCCAAACCACCTGTTGCAGATTAGAATAGCTAGATGCCAGGGTGTAATAACAGCACTCCATTTTACCAAAGCTTTGTCTACTTATAGCTTGATGACCCGGTGTCCATACCACCTTCAGGTTGGTATTAAGGGCACTGTATGAGAACTACAAAGACTAGAGATAGAATTCAGCTGTAAGAGAGAACTATTTCTGAATGGCCATCTCCATAAATGAGGTAACAGAACCTGCAGGAAATACCTATGATAACTTTGACTACGCACTGGTGAAGAAATAATCCCAAGTTATTGCCTTATAAAGCAAACATGTCTGTCTGACAAATACTAGATCTGCCTCGGTGTGCAGAAAGCTACTCAGTTCATCTCCATCTTCTTAGAAGCAATTTGGTATCATCCTTAAGAATTCATTCCACTAACTATAAAAACACTTCATGTACTAGTACTGACTGCAGAAAACTGTCATAAGCATTCTGACTTTTTTTTTTAATATAGTGATAGCCCATACTGTTCAACTTTTCAAAGTTGTCAGCCCCAAGGGAACTGTGAATAGTTGCAGCCATCTTTTCTTAGGTAGTCTTATGGGAATACAAGAAGGAAGGTTGTGTGCAGGGCCCAGAATATCACTGCTTATTTGCACACTGAGAACATATGTGCAATTACAGTAGGATCCACAGTTACCACAGTCTTCTCGCAGAACCATGTTTGGTGCGGATTTTGTTACTATTACTGTGAAGAAGAGTCTTCTACTTGTATCACTGGAATTACAACCTTTCCTGCACAATCGTACATGTATATATTTTTATAGTAACTTAAGGTGCAGGGTTAGATTTATCTCACCTAAGTGGTTGGGGCTACTTGAAAGTTCTGTGGCAGTAAACAGCATTTTCTAACAAAGTTTACTCTAGGGAGTCTTAAAAAACAAACAAAGCCAGTCAAGTTAGTCAACTTTCTTTTTTTCCTGGCTTCCCATTATTTATGTATCATTCTAATTTTTATATTTATAGATTCTGTCTGTAACTGCTACAGACCACGAGAAATCTGAGGTTTTAGATTGTGTGACTGTATAATAACTCATGTAAGTCCTTCCTTTATCATTTGTGCTGAGGCTCAAATGGGTGCATCTGCAATGATGAAAAGAGATTAAATCCTATTTCTAGCGGATACAAGATTTAATTATAAATATTGAGTGCTTTTACACTTTCCCCAAAGGTTAGAAATTTAGCTTAAATATGATAGAATATGAATCTTTTTAGGGACAGGTGTGCTGTAAAGACTGGTTAATTTTATTTTATATAGTATCTTTTATCTGTATTTAAAACTCTTCTGAAAGGTACTCTTAGGCTTTTAACTAGATGTCTGTAACAGAGAGAGTTTAAGTGTTCACAAAAATGCCTGTAGGATTGTGCTATCACTTTTTTATGCAATAACATGCTGTCAGTATATTGCTACTATGCCATTTTCTCATGCAGGTGCACGTTATTTGTAAATGCAGGAAAAGACATGGCAGTAGATACAGCATAAGATTGTAGGTAAAAAACGTAAAGTAGAACTGTGATTTGGAGGGATTAGCAAAGTCACTGTCAGAACTTCTTATCAGATTTGTTAAGGATATTCTTGGAAACTCTCTTTTACAGCCATCTATTCAATGTGAGCAATGGATAGGAGAGAAAAGACCTAATGAACAAAGCTTCATGTTTTGGAATTCCCAGATATTCAAAAGGTTTTTGAGATGCAAATATTAAAAAATAGAACTTATTTCTGTTTGAAAGACCTCAAAGTATTCCACAAAATAAAATTCCCAATGTAAATAATACTGTCAAATAAATAATGTGGTCATCCAGAGCATTCAGTGTTTCACAATAATACGGCGCTGCAGACAACTTTGAACATACTTCTGTTGTGTTTAACCCCAGTCGGCAACTAAGCACCACACAGCCACTCGCTCCCCCCAGTGAGATGGGGGAGAGAATTGGAAAAAACCCCAAAACCCATGGGTTGAGATAAAAACAGTTTAATAGGACAGCAGAGGAAGAGAAAATAATAAT